TGCAAATACACACTCTCCTGATGAAGCCTAAAACAAGAGTACGACTAATTTCTGATCCTTCGCCTGAAAACATAAGGAATCCTTGAATTAGTATCAAACTCTTGTTGAGTTTCTAAAGAGAGGTATATATCAAAGTCCCTCTTTATTATGTCTGCAGTAGGAGGACTTATGGAAGTTTTGGCCATCTTGGCCACTCAATAGGACCCTTATCTTGAGGAGAAAGTATTCAAAAAATGGTTGGCTGGACTTGACATGAGGATTCTACATGCACTATGCACTAGAAGCAAAGACAAATGCACCATAACTTAATTAATTAATGGCATTATTGAATGTGACACCCCATTCTTGTTCCATTCCTTTCCTGCTTGCTTTTAGGCCAAAAACTATAGTTTGGGCCTCCACAACATGGAGACTACATGACAAAACAATGAAGTAAAGAAATCAACATGTCGGAAGTTCCCAACAATGGAAATGCAATAATGCAGAGAGGGTACAGTGGAGGAAGAGTTCCAACTTAAAACATGGATTCATGCTTTTGGTTTCTATATAAAATTATGTAGAAATGCAAGAACAGATGTCCCTCAATTCCTGGTTATGGAAACCAAACCCAAAATTCGGCATCAATGTAAATTTCTAATGCAGTGTTTAATTTTAAAATTACAAAATAAAAATTTTATTCAAGAGTAAAGCTCAAGCCAGTGAGAGAGGGTGGGGAAAAAAGCAAACAATTTCCCCCCAGTCAACCAATTTATAGGTCTTACTCAAATATTAACTGAGACTGTATTTGGTTTGATAGAAAATAAGAAGAAACAGAAAGTTCTTAAGGAATTTTGGTTGAACCATATGCAGTCACTTGATGGTTGACTGGTTGACCAATAAACTAAACCTCTAACAAAATCTTTTACTTCTATTTTACCTTTTTATGTTGACATTGACAAGGGTAAAAAAGCCTTTAAATTGCTAGCCCTAGTTTTGCGAAAATGAAAGAAAAGGAAAACCGTATGAAACATGGAGCACTCAATACGCAATTTTTGTACAAGTTTTATTCATTTCAAATATGGGGCGGACAACTTTTCAGACTGAAATGTTTCAGCTAATTTCCAGCTATTGTGGCCCCAAGAACTTTCTTCTCCAACCTTTTAATTTGTTTTGGTGTAAACGGCATGAAAAACAAAGTTTTGTCCAACCCGTTGACTTGGTTGAAGGTGGTAAGAACCAAATAGACCAGTGAATTGATGATATTTGCCAAGCAAGTCAATCGGTGAATTCTGCTATATAGTGAAACAATTACATTGGTCCTATTGAGAGAGAGAGCTAGAGAAAGGATGGTGAGTGATTAACTAGAAACCAAAGAGAATTTGACTATTTGTTGATCATGTTTTGATTGATCAGGATAAATTCATTACCCATATTACTCAGATGTGGGTGATGGATCTTCTAATAAATATTAGAAGAATTGGTATCTCTCTCTCATTTAATGCATCTATCTAACTTGTAGAGGTTTCTTTAAAAATAACAGTCACCATGGTAAACAAGAGCTTCTGGCCTAAGCTCCAAAACCAACCTAATATATTTGGACTGATATACAAGACCTCAAAATGAATATTCAATCTGGTCATTATCTTCTTTGTCCCCATTAACGTTGAGCAACACTTCATCTGTCCCCACTTATCTAACAGATATCATCTTATAGCATCTTTCCAAGCCCTCTTACTTTCCGGGCAATTGCACTGATTTCATAGCAAGATTCAGTGAAGGTCTTCCATGGACTTTTGTAAATTTGATCAAAGATGTGATGTATAAGCCTAGTTCTAATAATACTAGCCAGGATCATTGGTCTAGTGTAAACCACTAAACTGGTCCAGTTTTGGCCAGGCCATGATTTTTTAGCTGGACCAAATTAAACCAGATTAATCTGCCCTTATCAAGCCCAATTGATAATCAAAACACAAAGATCGAGTCGGTCCCGATCCCACCGACACCCACCCCTCCTGGATCCAAAAAAGACATATGGGCCCAGCTGTAGAACCAACTTTGAAGCTTTACAAGTCAAGCTGACACTTTTGCAGTGCTTCATAGGGAACTGGGCTCGAATATGGGTTGATTCGGATCGGGCAAGGGAGCAAAGAATGGGGTTGTTTAGCATCTGATCTGACCCAGCCAAATCTGATGTGAAAATAGGTTGGAAGCAGCTGTCTTTCTGTCTTGAGTGGAGAGACTGTAATGGGTATAAAGTCATCTGGACAAAATGCAAAAGCTTGAAAAAAGCAAAAGGCAAAGAGATAGAAAAAGGTTTGATGGATCTCAAATGCTCAAGATTCGCTTACTACCCAAAACCCTTCAATTTGAAATTTCAATTCTTCTTGTTGTATCTTCTCCATTTAAAAGGTGACCAAAAGACAATGAACTTGCTCCCTTTGGTGGTCATGACCTAGCTCCTTGGTAGACTGTATCATACAAAACAAAAGGCCAGAAAGAAGAAGAGAATTGATTTAATGATACTTTACAAGGATTAATAATGATATGGTGTATGTGTAGTTGTGTTCCACCATCTTACATGACCCCTTCCACTACAACCACCACACGATTAGATCAATCATTTGAACCCGAAATATAGATCCATTTGAACCGTATCCAAGTCGGATCAAATTTCTATACCAGACTCATCTGCCCCTGAATCATGGATCCTGTGAGTCCACACTCGGGCCCAGTTTCCCAACCATAATATGATAATCGACCCCAATTCTACCATATGGGTCTTTAATATAATCCGCTACGTTTTGATTAAACGAGGAAGAGAGAATGGGTCGGGTCTGGTTCATATCAGGGTTTATCAATTGATTCTATTAAGATATATCCTGAACCGTACTAATTATTAATAGGGATCAAAGTTTTAAAATCCGGACCGGATATGGAATCATTCTAGTCACCTGTTTTTTGGTCGAATGGTCTAACTATCTAGTTCGAATGAATAGCCCGTTCTGATTTAAAATTTTTTTTAAAAATTGCCAAAAACCATTGACTGGATCGACGAGTGGACAGTTCGACCGCCTGAATCGGTGAATCGCTGACCAAATCAACGGTTTTTGGCCCAAAAAGCAGTTTTAGGGTGAAATGGTACTGGTTACCTAACCGATTTTTGGGTTAACCGGTCTGATCCGATTTTCAAAACCATGATTGAGATAATTGGGTATGACCCAATAATACTTGATAATTATAATTACCTATAATAATAACTTAAAACTTTATTTTTTATAGTATAATCGTAATAAAAGTAATTATAAAATAGTAAAATATTTATATGTTGATAAAGCAAGTGTTTTTAACCAGAACTTTATGAATATAATAAAAAGTGGCCATGTCTAATTATCAACAAAAATAACAAAAAAAAAAACAAAAAACATTTATATATTATTAATTATAAAATCAGTTCAAAACAACAAAAAGTGACCCTGATCCAATCATTAATTAGGAAAAAAAGTACAAATTTGATTAATAAATATGATTTAATTGGTAAAATCTATGACTAGTAGTAGAAATTGGGATCAAATCCTGCTGCCAATAATGGTGCGTTTGATTGCTATGAATAGAATGGGAAAATGGAAATATTCCCATAAGATTTCCACCTTCATGCGTTTGGTTGTTGCGATGGGATGCGAAAATGTGGTATGCGGTTTCTCAAAAGTTAGGATGTGGGGTTGCGCTGGTATGGTGTGACCCCGTGAGAAAGAGAAAACACAGAGAAAAAAATATCAGGTTGTCTCGACTGTGACTGGAGTCGTCCTCACTGCTTCAACATCTCAACAACGGTCGAGTCTCCGATGACGTTTCAGGCAATATCCGGTCAAGGTAAGGCCAGATCTATAACCCCTAAACCTAGATGATTATTTTCTTCCCCTTTTTGGCTTTGTCACTCTCTTTCCCATCGGTTGTAATACACAGTCGTTCACCGACTAAACACCATTGTTTCCGACGGTATGAAGCTTATTTTTTACATATTTGCGTGTATACATTATAGATCTAACATGCTTATCCACTTTTTTTGTCCATAGGGTTCAAGTATTTCCATTCAATTGCGGGAAGGTAAGAGCTCCCTCTTTTTTCCAGATTTATCATTATGGATATTTGATCTACTTATTCCCTGCCTCTCCTGTCTGAATGTAATGATTCTTCAATTGGTATCCTTATGGGTCTTTGTTTATGATTGTTTGAATAATTGTCTTTCAGATCTCTCTGTTCATTGGGATGTATTGTTATGGGTCAGTATCGTTGTGGGTCTTTCTTATTAAATTTTCTTAAAAAATAATAATTGTTTCTTAAAAAACAGACATTGGATACAAAATGAAAAAAATATATATTTCTTTCTATCTCATCATTTCTCATTCCATCCTTTCTCAACGGGAGTTATACATCCCGTTGTATAACTCCATTAAGCCAAAAATAAATAAATAGTAAATTGATCGGTTCAGCTCGACCGGGTAAATCCGACCCATTAGGTATCCTGGCATTAATAACAGCTCTAAACAGAGAGATGTAGTAGTCAACTCACATTCTCTGGAATCAACTTGGGGCCTAAAGCAATCAAGAGATGAAGTAAGAAAAAGTGGTACCTCACACTAATAACATGAAATTTCTAGAAATTTCCTTGACTTACGTAGCCAAACTGATCCTACATCAGTCATACTTCTTTTAGACAGTAACACCCTCTATCGTTCTATCTGCTCTCCCAAGCTGCTCATGGGCATTTCCGTCATTCGAAGGTACCATCGTCCTGCAGTCCATTTACAAGGAAGATCCGTGGGCTCCATCCTGGGTCCCACTTAAAGTAGATCCCACCGTCCATGCACGGAAAAAGAATAAATTTCGTATCTTACAAGCTGGACCCACTAGCCCACTGGTTGATCACTTTCGATCAAATACATGCAGATACACTCCAGTCCAAAACTCCAACGAGAAATCAAGTTTATTAACCATTGTACGTAAGTTCAATCCGAAGCAACGAAGAGTTTGTCAGAAAATCTCTTGGAGAGAATGTTTATATGTTTCATTGTGCTCAATGTTTCCTAGCCCTTCACATCCAACGGTCCATACTCACCCAAATGTCTCTCATAAGTCTACTACTAGTCTACTACTACCCCTTCTCTCGTTCCTTCTCAAAACGAAGAGAAACCGACCAAATTGAACAAACAGACTGAGACTGAGACGACGATGGCTCGGGCTGAGCTTCATCCGCTTCTCTCTCTCTTTACTCTCTTTCTCACCTTGTCGACTCTCCCCAGTCCGTCGAGTCCGGCCACCGACACCTTCATCTACGGTGGCTGCTCGCAGCTAAAATACGCGTCGGCCTCAGCCTACGAGACCAACCTCAACTCCCTCATCACCTCCCTGGTCAACTCCGCCACCTTCTCCGCCTACAACAACTTCACCGTCACGAGTTCCAACTCACACGACGTCGTCTACGGTCTCTACCAATGCCGGGGCGACCTCTCCATGCCGGACTGCTCCCAGTGCATCGCCAGCGCCGTGAGACAACTCGGCGTCCTCTGCTTCGACTCGTGCGGTGGCGCGTTGCAGCTGCAGGGCTGCTTCATCAAGTATGATAACACGACGTTCCTGGGCGTAGAAGACAAGACCGTGGTGTTGAAGAAGTGTGGGCCGTCGACTGGGTATAATCCTGACGTCATGAGCCGGAGAGATGCGGTTCTGGCCAGTCTGACCAGCGGAGGTGGGCCCTATAGGGTAGGCGGGTCCGAGGACGTTCAGGGGATCGCGCAGTGTGTGGGGGACCTGAGTGCAAGCGAGTGTCAGGATTGCTTATCTCAGGCGATCGGACGGTTGAGAAGTGATTGTGGCACGGCTTTTTCGGGCGACATGTTCTTGGGCAAGTGTTACGCCAGGTACTCAACCAGTCCTGCTGCTGCCGGTGGTGGTGGTGGCGCTGGGAATTATTACTACTCTCAGGCCAAAAATGGTAAGCGGTTTTACTGCCATGGATGGTGGTTTCTGGTTTTCTGGTTTTATTACTTTTTGGGTGGTTTAATTTGATTACAAATTTAAGTGAGAGCATAGGTGTTTTTTTAAGTGGAAATTTACTGGAAACTCCTTGAATAGATTTCGAATTTACCGGTACCCCTGTAAACGAGAAGAGTCATTTGCAGGGTGGTTCTGGTCAATTCAGATTATCCAAGATGATTTTGTAAGTTGGTTTTTTTTTTTTTTGTGTGTGTGTGTGTTTTGTTGTGTTTAACTTCACCAATTACCAGCGGTTTTGATTTGCGGTGCATTACATAATTACAAAAATACCTTCGTATTGCGATTGAATTTTCATTTTCCAAACGTTTGGTAATGGAATTAGTCAGTTGGGAAAAGCAAGACCCAAGAACCGGTCGGGCCATAATTTGCCATTTGGCAATTTCATTCGTTTAGAAGGTCAAGACCCATCAACAAATCAGTGTTTGGTGACTTTGGAGTTTGGAGTAAGGAAGGAAGCAATAAGGTCAAGACCCCAGAACGCCTCACAGCACATCTCACCGTGTATTGGGAACATCTCCCAATGACAGTATCATTTTCGATGATGTTATCTACACAGCGGAGATGTGCTGTGGGGCGGAGATGTGAATCCGATAAGACACCCTCTAATGGGGACCCATTCTACCGTGGTTAGTGGTTGCACTTAGCAATTTTAAGAGAAGTAGAGAACGAAAGATTGTGATCAAGATAAGAGGATAGGGCAAAAAAGAATTGTATAGTACATCCCTACATAACATCAATACTATTTTTAGATTGTATGGCCAATGAAAAGGTGACAGGTGTTGTACCGCAAGAAAGAAAAGATGAGAGCTGACGCTCCACCCCTCAAATTCTATACAAGTGATTGAAAGGCATGGTGTTAACCAAGTCTGATTGTTACTCAAGAACAACCTTCTTGTCACAACTGCTTAGACTTTTCTAGTGTCTAATAAACAAAGAAGGGTTCCTTGTTTCTTACTAAATCACTTGTTCATCAGTACCATTGGTTACCATGTGAAGGAACAATCAACAAACAAGGCCCTACCATGAATTATTGTCTCATTGCAACCACAAGTAAAGAATCTAGTGGTGATGTGTTGTAATGGTCAGAAAAGCAAGTTGACTTAGAATTAGTATATCTATAATTGTTTGAAGTTTAGTCAATTTGCACTAAAGTCACTTACCATTACCAACTAACTACCTACTTATATTAGGTATTGACCATTGATGCCCTCACTAATAAAATAATTATAATGCCTTGACTCAATATATATTTTTGTATGAATTTTTATCTTATGATGAACAACAGATTCATCTGATGAGACTGGAAAGACTCTCGCAATTATTATCGGATTATTGGCTGGGGTGGCTTTAATCATCATCTTTGCTTCTCTGTTAAGAAGGGTGTGTGGGGAGAAAGGTAAGACCCCTGTCTCTCTCTCTCTCTCTCTCTTAATGTTTACACACTCATAAGGCTTTGAAATGAATATATTAGGAAAATAAAAAAATAATAATAATAATAATTCACCATGTAATGGATATGGTAATTGTTATGCAGGTAAATAAATTGATACAGGTGGGAATTGTAATTGCCGGAAACTGCACTTGACTCCGGCGATTTCTGGTGGCTCTTTTGCTTCACTTTTTTTTTTCTCTCTCGACTTCTATTTTTCTTCCTTCTTTATCTTTTTTGAACTTTCTTTTGTATTTCTATAAAAGGAGACTCTAAAAAGAAGATGGAAAGGATGTGTTTAGAAAGGTATGTTGGAACAAATGAAGAGAAAGCTAGAAAGATAAAAAGGCAGGAGGCCAAGATTCCACTCTCCTCACCCCACTTTGCAAAGTTGTTGTCCATTGTGCAGAAACAAATGCAAATTCTTTTAGAAGGTGATTAGGTGCATCGTCATATCATCCTGGTCTTTGTAGGCCTTCACTTTATTACTTTGTCCATAATTCAGGGTTGGGAAGCTTGGTTTTATCCCAAAAATCAATGGTACAACCTGATTGTTCTCTAAATCTATTATCAATTTAATAATGTGATTCAGTCTAATTTGTGCAGACGGTGATGGATCTAGTTGATTCTTTTTTTCTTTTTGGAGCCTCACAACTAATAAGATGGGTTTTGTATTTTACTTCCTTCCATTTTGTTTTTGTTTGCTATGTAAGCTTTCACTGATGGGTTTCAGTTTTGATACCAAATGTGTGCTATCAAAAGCTCAAGGAAACTACCACCAAACTACCTAACATCTTTTTAACACTACTTGAATTGAAACTACCACCAAACTACCTAACATCTTTTTAACACTACTTGAATTGAAAATATTTTCTGTAGTTGATTTTATTTGAATATTTTAACAAAAATCATTGCTGAATGTTTGAGTGGTCAAAAAGGATTCATGCAATATGCAATGTAACATATTCATAAAAAAAAAAAAATGTGAATGCAAGTTTTTTGTACTCGAGCTATTGACGAATAGTTTAAATATGTTATTTCAAATTAATTCTTTTTTCCCTTCTCTCTCTCTCTTTCTCTCTGACACACTAAGGTGAGTCAAGCACTGATTTTTTTTTAATTATAAATAAAAAGAAAACTTCCACCTTATTAAAGTCTTGAATTGATTTGGACCAGTACAATAAAGATGAACAAATATCTACCATGAGCCTTGAATTAATTAATAACTTGTAAATTCATCTTCAAAAGTCTTCATTTTTCTCCCCCTCTGAATTATATATATTCTCAACAAACTGCAAAGTATCATGTTCCACAAAAGCATTGTCTTCTTTCCATCCTCAATTGATGACCAGCAAGAGAAAATTACATAAGGTTGAGAAGGTACAAACAAAAATCTTGTAAACAAATAAAAGAAGAACAACCATAAAAAACAAGCATCCTTGCAGCTACTAAGCAGATGGATGGCATTTTCTTCATGACTTTTACACATGATCCACCAATTAGATTTCAGATAGATTTAAAAGAAGCCATCAAAGAGATAGCTTTTGATATAATGTAAGGTGGCCTGATGGCTAAGTCCCCAGTACCACCTCTTTGCTGCTGAAGCTCCGTTTGTTTGCAATGCAAATTTGAAACGGATAGATATAAATTTTGCACCCAGTTCAGTTTTGTTTCTATTTGTTTGCAATAATGATTTGTAATCGTATCTGGTATAAAAATTGTTATTTGTCACATTTACACTCATTGGCATTGCAAATTTTGCATCTCAAAATTTGCAAATTAAAACTACAAAGGTGTTACCACTAGACCATTCTTGGTAGGACCAATTGTATGTTCCTAGGTCTGTTATGGAGAAAGGCAATAAGATCAACCCTAGCTGTCTCTCAGGGTAACTTTATAGACTTGCTTTTTTCTTCTTTTTCTTTTTTTAAATGAGACCATTTATCCAGGTTCGAAGTTTTATCTGTATGGGAATTTAGAAAAAGGCTTTATGGATAGGTCCCAAACTCCTTTGTTTGTATGGGAAAAAGATTGTGCATACTCATTTTTCCTTCCTTCCCAAGATAACGCCCATGAAATATTCTTTTTTCACTAATATTTTATATTTTTGGACCAAAATGCCCTCTTAGTTTTGCTTTGATTGCATAGTTTCAGGTTATAGTTGCCCATTAGAATTGATACCTAAGAATTAATACATCGAATCAATATATGTTATACATTTAAAAATGTATCATCGTGTTTCGAGCATGAAAACATTATATAATTTTATAAATTTTTTTGGACCAAAATCCACTTCTCTTACTCTTACATAAGTGAGAGGGCATCGGTCCTGAAAACACTATATCATCATGTTTCGAGCTCATTCTAGGCAATGTTTTTAACCCTTCATTGACTCGGCCAGTTAGACTGGTGACCCCATTGATGTGATTATAACCCCGGTTTGGTTCAACCTCTAACCCATTATATTATATTATATTATATTATATTATATTATATTATATTATATTATATTATATTATATTATATTATATTATATTATATTATATTATAAAACACTATTGGTTCACTCAATGGCCTATAAATTTGGATGGTTGAACCATTGATCCTTGGTGTAAACATATTTCAGCTTTGAGGATTATTTATGATCAATAATTCTCCAAGAAGAATTGAAATCGTATCTTTCTCTATATGGGTAAACTTGAATTTGGAAACAGATTTATTTTTGAGCTGGTCTAAAGTTGATTTCTGGTAAATACTAATGAAACTATGGTTTTTAAAAATGACCCGGAGACCAAACCAGTCAGGGTCCAGTTATTGGGTCGAATGATCGGCCTGTTTTGACAAAAAAAATAATAAAAAATAAATGGTTAAAACCATTCGAACGGTTAACCGCCCAGGTCAATGGTTTGCTGACCAAAATCAACGGTTTTGAACAAATTTCCGATTTTAGGGAAATCAAAATCAGTCACCTGACCAATTCTCGGTTTTTCTGGTCCGACCATCTAGTCCGATCCAGTTTTGAAAACCATGAATGAAACTTGAGTAGTCACTATTTAGCCACTTAAGGCCATTTTTGTCAATAAATATGAAAAGAATAGGACACTCACATCTTTTGGTGCATTGTCCTCATGCACATTTGTTGATGAGAGTTTTTTTGTAGCACTCCTTTAATTTATTCCACATTTGAAAGAAGACATATGAAGGGACAACTCTAAAATGCCGAAAGCAGTTTTTTTAAGCGATTAATATTGATAATGTATACTTTATTCATCAATGATTAATTGATGAAGTATGAATGGAATGAGGTACAACTTGGAATATTAAATATATATAAAAAAATAATAATATTCTTGGAATGCTGAATTATGATTATTAGGGATGTCAATGGGTCGGATAAGTGCTAAACCCGCACCAACCCTAACCCAATCTGACCCAACCCTATCGGGTTTCGGGTGGATTCAGGTTGAAATGGGCCCATATTAAACCCGGTCCGGTCCATCATCATTGCATCATTTAAATTTTTGTATATATAGGTTTGATTAAGTACAAATGTACTATATATATGGGGCGGGGCGGGTTTGATATTTTCTTGCCTTTTAGTTGAATCGAGCTTGGATCAAGCCGAACCCATATTGAACACAACCCATAAACATCCCTAACCATTACCACTCCCCTGTGTACTTAAAAAAAGCCACGAATATCTCTCGTACAGGCATAAAACTGGATCAAATCATGGTCAGTGAATAAACTAAGAAAGAAGCAGAAAGCATTAAATAAAAAGGAGATCGATGTTGGAAAAGAAATAGAAAGCCACGTTGGTAGAATATTCTTTTCGATCTCCATCGGCGCTTTCTTGGGTTCAAAATTTAACGTGGTCTTTAAAAAATGTTGCTAGAGTCGTGTAAGTTTGGTGTAAGGACATCAATCATATTTGCTTTCTGCAAGCTCTTTTGTTATTTTGACCATATTATGATTCTATAGTTAATTAATATGATAATTCTCACAATTATCCCCTTCAAGCTGGTATAAAGGCATTAATCATACGCAGCTTAGAGTTTTTTTTTCTTTTCTTTTCTTTATATGAGAGTATATCTGTAGAATTATCTTTATATATTTATTCAAAAAGAAAAAAACTACTCTATCTACATTTATTTTTGTTATAAAATGTTTAGTAATAGGAATCTGTCAAAATGAATATAATTAAGGGGCTGTTCAATAAATGCTGAAGTAGCTGAACTAATGGCCTATTGCTTTCTCTTTAGCAAACAAGCCATTAAGTAGGTTGTTAGCCCCTTAATTTCTGAATGGTTTGTTGGGCTGATTCCTTTATATATACCCCCAAAATATTTTATTAGATATAACTATTTTATCCACTAAAAGACAAATAATAAGCCATTCAATTCAACCAATTCAGCTGTTATCAAATGAATCCCAAGACTGGTTGTGATTAACTGATTCCCCAAACAAAACAATAAGTTAATAACTGAGTTGGGGAGCCAGGAGAGGTTGTGCCTTCCTCATATCACCCTTTTCATTATCTAATTATATCTACAGTTAATAGTGATTACAAATTGTAGTTAGCATCAAACAGGACTAATTTAATCTTCAACGTGTTAAATCAAGGATCAGTGTCCTTTATGAGCATTCCATTGTTATCCTTGACCAATTTCGAATAAAACATTGGATTATTAATTTAAACTACCCCATTTTAAGTAAATTAATTTCTGATTTGTTTGATTTAAAAAAAAAAATCTTTAATTGAACTTATAGAAATGTAGAGCATTCTAGTACTATTAAAAACAAAGTAAGATGTAGTATCTCCCCTTATCTCATTATCAAAACAGGTAAGAGACTCAATCAAAGCCACAAAAATGCACTGTTATAGTTGCAGATGAGGTGTGAGGATTCCTTGTTGGTGATTGAATAGAATGGTGAGACAGTCTCCATCAACAAGCGTGACATTGAAGATATCAGCTCATTCTGTGTGTTTTTTCCCTTGGTAGTTAAGCAACATTGATCTGAAAACCTCACAAAGATTTTCTTCTTTTCACTATTATGCAGACACACTGTTTGATGAGTGTGATGGAGATAATGATGGGTAATTTAAGAAATGATGTCTGCGTATTATATGGAGGTTGGTTAGCAATTATTTGTTTCTTTTGGGGAACATTCACTAGTCTCTGTTTGTTGTGGGAATTTGATTTGCACTGGTGTAAATGATGCGGCAATTATTCTGGTTAACTTTGTTTTATGTGTTTGTAAGAAGCAAAATGACGTGGTCTCCACCTTATATGAAATAGAATGAAAATAGGAGGGTTTATTAGTTTGGGAGGGAGGCAGGAAACAAGATGATATATGGTGTGGCCCCCACTTTATATTAGAGAGAACTAAGGTAAGAGGAAGGTGGTACAATTTGCATCAGTTTTTGAGATGCAAAATTTACATTATCACCAAATGCAAATAGACTAAAAGTACAAACGTTATAATTTGTCTCCAGAAGGAGTACAAGTCGTAGTGACAAATAAACATATGCAAAACTGATCCAAGTGGAAAATTGGTATATGTTTCAGATTTGCACTTAAAAAATAGAGCTTAAAGGGTTGGACTAGGAAATTGTTTTAAAGGCTCAGTTTGGAAGGAGTACAAATACAAATATGTACAGTACAAATACATACAAAA